GTCTGCCCCGGACAGTGAATGGCAGAGCCAGGATTGAATCCAAGCTGCTCAGCACCCATTTGAGTTTTAAATTCTTCCACCCTGCTGCCTGCCCATTGCATCCAGGTGTGGGTTTGCAGGGTATAAGAAGGAGAGCAGACAGTGTTGCAGCAGGCCCGGGGCTCTGGGAGGGCCTTTGCTATCCCTGGTCCTGCATCACAGGAGTGCCCAGTTTCAATGGCAACCCTGCCTGAGACCAGCTGAGGTAGCTGTAACTCTTTATTCTGCCTCTTGCTGTCTCGGTTCTATTTCTAGTTCAAGATCTGGGCCTACAGACGGGCAGCAAGTGGAAAGGACAGAGTCTGAGCTGAGGCTAGGACTCCTTACTCTATGGAGTGTTTTGCTCTCTCCCTCATCTGGGTGGCTCCTCAGCAAGCCCTCTTTTCTCTCGGACTTACCTGACTAAGGATGAAAGCCACTGGGGACTAACTGGGCATAGGACCCTGCACCTATAAAGCTTCTCTCCCATGCATCATTAAAATGCACAATTAACAATGGCTTTTGGCTGAAGTGTAGGAAAGCTGAAGAATGATCTTTACACAGTATCACTTCCTCGCCCCTCTAACATTTTTACACTGACAGTTTTAAACGCAGCTATGAGGATCAACTTTTGTAAGATTCACTGTGGAAAAACTGGAAAGTCTTTTCTTTTTGTGCCTGCTTTATTGGTAGATGGGAAGGGTGCTCTGTTTGGTAGTGGTAACCTTCACTATGATCCATAAAACCTCTCCATAGATTGCAAGTTGGTTCTTTTAACACTAGTGTGGGCTCCTGAAGTGTGTAAGCACAGAATCCCTGTAACAAAACTATGACAGAAGACAAAAGAAAGATGCATGGTGAGGATAGGTTGTCTGTTTTTCAATGTCAGGGATTGATGTCGGTGGCGCTTCACTTCCAAGGGTCAAGATACTTATTTGGCAGTTGTGGGGATAAGGAGACAGGCTCAGAGGCAGAGAATTCACACCTTCACTTGCTGGGAAAGGAAACTAGGGCTGGAATCAGTGAAATCCGTAAAGGAACTGGAATAAGAACTAGTTTTTAAACACACTTACACATGACAGGATGGAAATCTATCATTAATATACCCAGTTCCAAAGCCTCAAAAAATCCATTTACACCTAGCAAGTGAGAGCCTGGACTATGTACAGCCTCAAGGCCAACAAGCTTTTGCAGCTGATTCCATCTCGGGCCCTGCTGGATTGAAATCAGTCTTCAAGAAACTTTTCTCTTAGAAGCAGGGACGCAGGTTGTTTCATTTGGAGACTTCTAGAATGTCAGACAAGACACTGTCAGTGTCAATAAAATGTACAAACTACAGGAAAGCTACAGGAACACACAAATTGGATGATTGGCAACTAAGGCCACAGAGCGAATCACAAGATGTGGCATGTCTGCTAGTAGGTCTTTTGGGTCTTTTGGGTTGGCTGATGGGTACTGTGAGGGTGCAGGTGTCATAATGATGCCCTATTGGTCAGGCTCCCTGCCAGATCCCAAGCCACTACTGTACATACACAGTAACAGCCCAGAAACAAACAGAAGAGATTGACCCAAGAGGAAACAGTATTATATAAAATCACAATATTGCTCAAACACCAAATAAACGGGATGCTGTGTATCTGACACATAGGTGCGTGGTTGTATGATTTCACACCAACACGATACAGCCATTAAAAATCATGCTTTGGAGAAACATTTGGTTTGAAGATAAATATTTATGATATAATGAGAAATCTGAAAGGCACCACACTGAGGACAGTGTTTATGTGACAGTTTATGTGTTTTCCCTTTGGTTTTACACACACATACACGTGTATGAGACTAGAAATAATTAAAATGAAATGTTAATACTGCCTATTTCTAAGTAATAAGACACTAAGTTATTTTTCTTTAGCTCTGTGTGCTTTTCCATAATTTGCAAGGTTTAAATGCAGTTTCTTAAAAAAATCCCTTGTATTTAAAGATATACCATTTTTTTAAGAGCAATTGTTGGCTCTCATAAGAATACCCAACTAACCACCATCAATACCTTGTATAATTATTATTAATAAATGATAATATATAAAATCTCTGCCCCCAAGATATGGAATCAATGAAAAAAATCCATACATCTTAGTCAATAGCCTCTGGGCCAGGCTTTACAGCTCATGATATACATTGAAATTCATCTGCCACCATCCTGTCTGCTTACACTAAATACGAATGCATCAAGAGGAAATTAATAGTTGTTGGATACAAACTCCAGGCTACATGTTTATGTACAAGACTTTACTTGACAAGTTTATAAATGGGCAAGGTGAAGTTCAGAAAGATCCAGTAACTTGCCCTGGTCACATGGCTATTCAGTGATCAAACTGGAGGAAAATTTAGTCATCCTGGTTGGAAAGGTTTCTCTTCTGGCCACCCATGGGGTTGGTGGAACCTTCAGAAGAGACCTCACCTTCATTGCAGACCTTAAAAAAAATCTTCATTAAGTACTCTGCTAGACTTCCTAATGTGTGGTCAAACTTATTGATTTTTGTTTATTTTCTTTCAATAACTCTGATGGGGATAACCAGGGAAACTGCCAAAGAGAGACAAAGTTAAGAAATAATGTGTCTCCTGGGAAACCCTGACAAAGCCCAGAACAACAGTAAAGTTCAGCTTAGCTCTCTCACCAGTGCGGAAGGTGGCCCTCAGCAGTGCGCAGCAAGGACTCCCAGGTGTGTCTCAGGCCTGTGCTCACAGTGCTGCTTCCTCCCTCCTACCTGCTTAGGGGCCATTTCCTTGCACTGATTCTAAAACCTTCATCTCTGACTCTAGAAGTATTATCAACAGCCAAAATCTCTCTAGCAGACAAAAGATCTCAGAAGAGACAGAACATCTCCAAGACGAGGCTGCTTCACTTTTTCCACTTACTAATCAAGGACTCCAAAAAGGGGTGACATACAGTGTTGGGCTGATGGTGACAGCACTTAGCCCAATTAGAAGACGAGTTTATAATCGTAACGACATAACAGCCAGATGGCATGTCACAATTATAAAATGCTTCCACATTCATGAGCTTGTTTGACAAGGAGAGGCAGGAAACATTCCCATTTTACACACCAGGAAACTAAGGACTCTGTCACTTAGTCTCACTTACTGGATTGGAAGGCACTGAGGGATTGTGTGGAGCCGTTCTAAAAATTTGGTGGGCAATGTGACAGTTTTATGTTCCTGGGAAACAGAGTCCTTAAGAAGGGTTTTAGGATTAGGATGAAGGAGCAAACATAAACTCACCATAATATTACATACAGACACATCTGCAAAAACGGGTTTTCTGCCTTACCAATTCTACCCACTCTTCAGAGCCAAATCCAAAGCCTACAGATCCATTAAGCCTTTCCTTGATTATTCAGCAAAAAGAAACCATAATCACAGCACCCTGAGGCTTTCAGAGGCCCCAGTTCATTCCAGTTAGATACGTACTAGAGGTATCTTTTCAACACACAAGAAAAAGGCTGATCAGAGAGGTGAGGCTGCTGCTGGTCAGGCTGGAACTACAGCACATACTGCTTTGCCTTTCTGTACTCGGGTCATTCTGTGTATTGCCATGGGCCCCTTATGCCTCAGCTTGCCTCTGAGGTCCTGCAGGGCAGACAGCAAGCCTGTGCTTCTTTGTATTCCCCACTCCAACTGCCCCAGAGGTCAGCTCAGCACCAGGAAGCATCTTAAGTTAAGAATCTGCTGGGTAGAATGGTAATTATTAAATCAGACTTTGTTTTTTGGTAGTCTGAGAATTAGGCTCTCTGCTATATATAATTAAAACCAGAATGCACATACACACATATTAATCTCTCCTAGCTCTAACTTCATCAGGTATTCATTACCACATCTGATTCTGGGTTATGTGAAAAGGAAAGCTAAGTAAGCATTTTCTGTGATGAGGATAATCAAATCCATGCAGATATCAGAGAGTTTGAAGACAAGACAGAAGCACAATCGTGAATCTGACACAGAGAGACACAGCGCTGCAATGATCCGAGTCTAAAGAACTTGCAAGGCAAGAGGAACACTTGTCTGCCTTCTGGCAACTGGATATTCAGCGAGCACGAGGAAAGAAAGCCCTGGTGGCAGCTGGGATCCTGCACTATGACACATTATGCTTTGCCAAGACAGATGTGTCACACTACGATGCATTCTAGGTCAGAAACAGAAGAGATGTAACACTTCCAAAGGCTGCACTGGGAGAAGGAGGGTGCTCTGGCACATTCTTAGCACAGCGATCATTTAACTGTCAACTTCACTGGCTGGCAAATTGATTAAATATACTCACAATATACAACTGATTACTTTGTCAGGTCTCATTCCATTTGCCTTCCCAACAGATCATTACTTCACGGCTTTGGAAATTTAAAGGGCTCAGTTCACAGAGATTAGAATTTTTGTCGGTGAGGATTAGCTCAAGCATCTCTAAACTGACAGCTGGCAAACGAAGCTAAAAATAGCAATGTCCATTCACCACATGCATAGCCCAATTCTATGTAATAAACTGCCAAGAGGCAGGAATCCTATTTTTTAATTAAACCTTTATTTGTATTTATTTGACAGACACAGTGATAAAGAGGGAGAGATCTGCTCATTGCTTGTTCACTCCCCAGCTGCCTACAAATTAGGTTGAGCTAGGCTGAAGCCAGCAGCCCAGATCTCCAGCCGGGTCACCCACATGGGTGACAAGGACCCAAGTACTTAGCTGTCATCTGCTGCTTCCCAGAATACACGTTAGCAGGAAGCCACATCAGAAACAGAATAAGGGATTGGAACCCTGACCCTTTATAATACAGGAAGCAGGTGTCCCAAGGGGGATCTTAACCACTGAGCCAAACACCCGTCCCATGGTTTCTTTTATGTTACAAAAAACAAAACAAAACAAAACAGCTTTACAACCTCAAGTGTTCAATCAACATTCAACATAAAGAACAAACACCAGGTGTGGTACCTACATTTGCATCTTCATGACTGTGACCATTGGTCTCCACCAATTCCTTGGTACCTTTCAACTGTAAATGTTAGGGAAAAACAAAACATAAGAACAACAAAAAAGTTAATCAGTGAATGTCTCTGTTAGGTATGCATCATCTAGTTAACTCTGATTTATCTGAGGTTGCATTTTATAAAACTTCCAAAGAGGGGAAAACAGATGGAGCACATAATTCTAATGGGTCGTCTTGAAACCAATTTAAGACCAATATTTTTTGAAGCTTGATGGCTGTCAAAAATATAAAAAACATGAAGCCTGGTCATCATCTTAAAAATAATATTAGAAGGCAGTTTCATGGGCATAAGAACGCATAAAAGTGGTTCTTAAGACTAATAAACAATTCCATTTCCTAGTTGCTTTGCTGTTAATTTAAACCCTGCAGTGTTTGGCAGCTGCCACCAGCTAAATGACTTCACAGGAAATGGCAATGCGGGGTGGACGGACATGTCCACCTCAGGACTCGTGTGCCTGATTGCTCTCATCACAGGAGCCCAGACAGGAAAGGTGACTTCTTTGCTTGTGTGTGTGTGTGTGTGTGTGTGTGTGTGTGTGAGAGAGAGAGAGACAGAGAGAGACAGAGAGAGAGACAGAGAGAGAGAATTAGGAAGATATCACCTTGTGCTGCAGAGAGATTAGGGGAAAAATCCTTTTGTTTTTGTTACTATCCATCTATCTATCTATCTATCTATCTATCTATCTATTTAATGTATATTAGAAAGGGAGATTTAGAAATCAAGAAAGACAGGGAGAAAAATCTTCCATCCGCTGATTCATTCCCCAAGTGGCCATAAGTGGCTTCTTCCAGGTCTCCTACACAGGTACAGGGTCCCAAGGCTTTGAGGCATCCTCTTCTGCTTTCCCAGGCCACAAGCAGGGAGCTGGATGGTAAGTGGGACAGCTGGGACCTGAACCAGTGCCCATATGGGATCCCAGCACTTACAAGGTAAGGATTTAGCCATTGAAAAGAAAAAACCTTTACAAATGAGACTGCTTAGGAGAGGCAGAGATCAGTCTACAGGAAATTTCTAGGAAGCCTTTCATTGGTATTTTATCCTATCCTGACTCAAAATAGGTATCTGGAGGCAAAGAGCAAAAGCAAAGGGTTGAGCTGGACTTGGAGCTATTGGCTGGCTTATTATGCTTAGCAAGCTGCACTTCCCCATGACTGGTTTCAGGCTTAGGGTAAGGTGTTTCTAGCGGGAAATAAACACTGACAAATTGAAAAAAAAAATGCACGGCAGCTCTAGAGCACTGGCTATTTGTGCATATGACAGCTGCAAGACGCTTCACGTTTTCAAGGCAGTCTTGGTTTCAGTAAGAAAATCAAAGCCTCTCCATGCCAAGGGAAGGGTTTTGTCAAAGCAATGGTGGCAGGAAGAACATGGGCATGGCATGGCTGATTGAAGGTAAGGGGCTCCTTTTCATGTAACTCCCACTGAGGAAAAAAAATCTGCCCACTGGTTTTTAGGGATACTTCCCTGTTGTTTCTGTTTGTAACATGCAAAGAGGCATGGAGCAATGTATGATTTGTGGGAATGGGAGAAATTGCACTGCAGACCCAGTAACACCCCTGACTCCCCCAGTACAGTGCACAAAGGGACGCAAGCACAGCGCTGTGTCTTTCCCCAGCACTGGCTTCTTGCTGAAGGTGTTCCTAGTCTTCCTCTCGTTCTTCAACCCCCTCTTGCTCATCCCACCTGAGGTCTGTCCCCTGTGCCGCTGTGAGTTAGAGCAGAGGTTCTCTTGGAGGCTTCTGTGCCTGCCTAGAAGAAGTTTGGGACCATGATGTGTTAGGGTACCTTCCTCTTCTGGCTGTTCACCAGGATCAATACACTTGCTGTTCTTGGGCATGATCTTGTGCCCCTGATCATCTTACAAGTCTGCCTGCTCTTGCACTCTGCCTCCTCTCCTCCCAACCTACTTTCTGAATTTGGGTGTGGTTCCCTCGACCACTCTCTCTGTTCTCTGCCAGGAGTACCAGCAGCCACTGTGCCTCTGTAGAGGTCTCCTTGCTGTGGCCACTCTGGGCCCATCATTCTGCTTCCTCTCAGGGCCCCTTCCTGTTCTCTCCTCTAGCTGTTCCACTTTCTCTCATGTGGAATGTAGTGTTGGATGACACTTAGGGTTGTGATCAAGCCCCAGGAACAGGACACACCTGTGCTTGTTCAGGAACTGAAAAGCAGGAGTCAGTGGTGCCTGGAGAGGTCTCAAGAAGCTCTGTCTCCTCCAGCACCAGCAGGCAGGATTTGAGAGCACGGGAATGAGGCTACCTTCCCTAGAGGGGGTGAGAGGCCTTCTGGTGGGAACGACCTGCCTTCAAGAACTCTTTTCTTGTTAGAATTTGCAGTAAGTGGCAGCTGCTTTGAAGAGGAGACTTCCAAGTCTCTAGACAAGGATGTATATATAAACATAAATCTCTTGCTCTGTGTTTGTATGCACATGCATGTACACAGACGTGGTATCATCTGTTTCCATCATATCCATGTATACATATGCAGTTACTCTGCAGGGATCTAAAGCAAACCATATGAGCGAATGTTCCTGGAGGTGAGAGGTGTATGTGGCCATGTGTGGGGGTGGCTGCCAAGGGAGAAGGAGGTGACACGTGTTCTGCACACCTCCAGGTTACACATCCCCAGGTCAGGGGCCAGCAGTGCCCTGGAACACAGCTGGTGGTGGCACTCAAATGTCTTGAGCCACTGCACAGCCCCTGACCCTCTTCGTCTTTGGTGCCTTTGCTTGGAAAAGCCATCCCCATTGAAGTTAATACTAAAGATTGAAAAAGCACTGCCTTCTCAGTGGTGTTGTCCGGGTCCCTGAACATTTAATTGTTCTGAATCCTCTTCTTCTTTTTTTTTTCCAAGTTGGGATGAATGAAGTGTGATGCTCCACCAACTCGGGGGCTGAGTGTGCTTGGTGCTTTACATAAGCATGGCACCGCAAGATGATGTCCACTTTCTGCAAAATTTTGCATCCATTTTTGTGACTGTTTTGGACTCAGATCAAAATAAAGGAAGTAAGTCAGGCAGAATAAAAGAAAATTAGTTTCTCTCCAGGCTGGGTAAAGCTACAAGAAAACAAAATCAAAAAGCAGGGAAGAGGAAGATGTGGACCTGATGAGCCCATAGGGCTGGTCCCTCAGCACAGCCAAAGGGGGCAGGACAGTGACATCAGGCCCCCTGGCTGGTGGCTCATAGAGGTTGACCGCATCTTTGCATTCAACTTTGCTTATCTTGTCAGTTCCCAAATCCATATTCATCAAATTATTACTAGTTTTATAGAGCATTTTCTCCAAGTATTTGTAATATCTTCATTGCTCCTCTTTATTTTCAGAGGGAAAACAGTTAAAATATGTTTTTCTTTTCTTGATTCTAAGCCATCTTTTCTTTAAGCTCACTTGTCAAGTGACGACACATCACAGTTGAATAGGGTCATCTCTCCCTACTTCATATATTCTATAATACTGCCCTTGAGGTTATTTATACTGCATAAATAACCATCTCATAAACCACAATATGCGTGAAAAATAGAAAAGAGCCTATGTTTGATTTCCAGCAGAGGCACTACACTCTATATAGCTTATCATAATGTGATTTAACCCTTCCTTCTAATTACCATTCACTACAATGTTGGCACTGAGTGAAGGCTAGAAACAGCAGAGCAGTTCAAGAGCTTTCCAAGCTCCTCCAGAGCAAATAGTGGGCTTGGATTTCACTCTGCTGGTTGCCCAGTGATCCATCTTATCCTGCTGTAAGACAATACTTTCTAATCCATTTATCAATGTCAGGTCACACTTTCATATCAAAGGCAGCTAGAATGGACCGGTCAGCTTTACCCATGCAGTGTAAACAGCCTGGTGTGCACTGTGGCTATCTAAAGGCCTTAGGCACAGGGAAGATAGTTTCTTGATAATGCTGTGAATCAGTCCCTCCTATTTGGAGGTCAGCATTGATGCTGTGGTTACAGTCAACTTGTTTTCCTCCCCAAGAGACTAAAGAGGAAACGAGCTGCTTACTTTGCAACATACCCCAACTGTCAATATTTTCAACTTTTCTCAAATTCATTTGTCAGTAGAAACTGACAGGCTTGGGGGCAGACTGAAGGAGGACAGGGAAAGACAAAGAGGCTGGGAGTGATGCCACACATTGCACATTGCAAAGCTGCCTGAGGTCTATGTTTCCGAGGGTTAGGGTTAAGGACACTGTCCATTGTCTTCCATGATGTTTGCACCCCCAGCTGGGGCTCACTGAGGATGTTTGTGTTGATTTATAAATCAGGGCAGTTTCATTCACTTACTTGTTCCTGGAGGACTTTGAGTAATGCTTGTGTGTGTGACTGTTCTTCCTTCGCCTGTTCCAGTTCTGACTTCTTATTGTTTAACTCCTCCTGGATGGTAAGCAATTGCTGTGAAAGGAAAAGATGGTGAGTGTGAAGGAGGAACAAAGATCAGAGATTCTAAAATGTTCCAAACACTTGTTCCCAATTCAGAGAGGAGTTTTTTCATGTCTTGTTGCTTAATGCCGAGTTGATTTTGTGTGCAATTTCTCCACTGGGTGTAAAGACAATCACAGTTTTTGACACACTATTAGGCTGTGATTAAAAAAGAAAATCTGTGTTCCAAGTTTTCTTTGCCGATATTATTTGAAATGGAAAAAGGGTGAGAATCAAGAGAGGGAGAGACAGATTTTAAATTCGTTGGTTCATGCTCCAAGCCCCCATGTTAGCAAGGGCTGGGCCGGCTTAAGCCAGGTACCAGGACTACATCCAAGTCTCCCATGTGGGTGGCAGGGATCCAAGTACTTGAGCCATCATCAGCTAACTCCTAGAACACACATTAGCAGGAAGCTGGATTAGGAGCAGAGTCAGGACTGAAATCCAAGCACTTCAATATGGGATGCAGGAATTCCAAGTGGCAGCTTAACTTGCTGTACCCCATGCCCACCCTGTTTGTGTCAGTAATGCATAACGCTTCTCTTAAGTACTGGCGAGGATGCCCTCTAAGAGGATTTCTTTGAGCAAATGCATAAACATGTTTATAAATTATGTAGAGTCAATAAACCACATTTTGAAAGATGAAGAATCAAAGAAATAATAAAGTAAAAGAGTGATTAGCCAATTTGCCCAGTTTCATTTCATTTTTACATTGTACAGTAAAGGGAGCTTTATGGTTTCTCTGCAGAGCTACTTCTCTGAGTGGCTGGCACCACAAAAGATCCTTCTACTTTCTCTGTTATGACGGGGATGTTTTATTAGATCAGCAGGACTGAAGTCCAAACTGCAATCAATATATCAGCCTGGAAAACTGCTGATATAAGCTGTCAAAATACTAAGCTATGGCCTGCACTGCTATTTTTAAACAGGGCCACTGAAGGGATTTTTGTAAGCCTTGAGCTTTCCTTGCCCTACCAACTGTAACTCATGTGGCAGCTTACCTTGTCTGCCAGGTGCACAGCGCTGCCCAGCACTAATTCTTTGGGATGTGGCTATATGTTAATATATACACAGGCTGCGGGAGACATTCCAGAGCTTCCAAACAGACTCTGGCCACAGGCAGGCCTATTTAGAGCATCTTGACAGCAAAGGAGTAGTTTGGGAAGACACAGCAGCCCCTTCCTGCTGCTGCCCCTAACAAGCGCTGCTCTGCTGATGCAGAGACGTTATCGTGTTTCTATCTGGAAGGGACATGCTCCTACTATCCAGGCTGCCTCCTACAAGGCTCCTGCGAGTTGGCTGCAGAACTGCCTGGCCAGTTTCTAACTAAATGAACTGAAAGAAACACTGATAGGTGATTTCTCCTCTTTAGACCTACCTACTGGAAGGATTAAGTTAAAACCTCAAAATGACTAGCTTTGGTGGGGGATCTTGGGTACAGGATGTATTCTAAAAACCACACTGTGCTTTCCTTTTGCTTGCTTGTGCTGTAGCCCTGGGCCTAAATCTAAAAACCTACTTTGGGAGGTGGTGTTTGGCTCAAAGGTCTGATATCTCTGTAGACATCTACATCTCCTAGTGAAGTGCTTTGGTTCAAGTCCTGGCTCTGATCCTGTTACTAGTTTGCTGCTAGTGTGTAGCATGGGAGGCAGCAGGTGATGGTTCAAGCACTTGGGCTCCTGTCACTCCTTTGGGAGACCCAGAGTAAGCTTCAAGATCCTGGCTTTGGTCTGGTCCAGGCCTGGCTGTCACGGACATCTGGAAAGTGAACCAAAGAATGGGAGATCTCTGTTTCTCTGCTTTTTAGACTTGATTCGTGTTTCTAGCATAAACAGTGTCATGTTAATAGTTTTCTAAATTCATTGGCTCCTATTTCTTCACCTGCTTCTATCATCATCACATACACATCTCACAGTGCCCCCCTCAACAATTTTCGTGAGATAATTGTCTATTGTCTAATCAAAGGCCAAATCATCAGAGGGTCCACATTATCTTCTGGCAGAGTGACAAGTGCTTGAAACAGTTATGAATGATCCTATTCCTTCTTTTTCACTCATGATTGGTCCCAGAACAGCTCCCTGGGGAACTGGTGTGGACTTAAGTGATGGCTGTGTGAATCTGTACTTGATAAGACAATTTCCAATCCAATCATCAAACCTTTTTAAAGATAAACCAAAATAAGAACAAGAAAGTGTCTTTAAGGGTAGGCAGTGTATTTTGTTCACTACGGTGGCTGAAACAGCAAAGTTTAGAGAGCATAGATGTAAGGTGAAGTGGAGTTGGGGCATCTGTAAGGGTGCATCTGTGTGGTAGGGCATGATGCATCCAATAAAAAGGAGACTGCACAAACATCTCCAGACATTTGTTGAGGAAGTTCACAATGTACCATTCAGAAAAAAAAGGATTAAGAGGATTTTAATTAATTTTGTAAAATACTCCCTCAAGAAGGATTTGGATACTACCTCTAGGTAAGTGGCCTTTTGACCCTCTCAGTTTTGGTGGTCATTTTTCTGGTGTATCAGTTGAGAACAGGCACTGTTTTGGTAATGAGAAAGGAGGGAGGGAGGGAAAGAAAGGGAGGGAAAGAAAGGGAGAGAGGGAAGGGGAGAGAGAGAGAGAGAGGAAGGGAGGAAGGGAGGGAGGAAAAAAGAGCTTCCATCTGCTAGCTCACTCCCCAGATGGCTGCGATGGCCAGAGCTGGGTTAGGACAATGCCAGGCACTATGAGCTTCTTCTCAGTCTCCTATATGGGTGTCAGGCAATTGGACCATCTTTTGCTGCTTTCCCAGATCATTAACAGGGAGCTGGATCAGAAATGGAGCAGCTTAGACATTGTGTGTAAAGCCAGCATCCAGTGTGATGGCTTTACTCACTATACCACAGTGCTAGTCCCAGTTTGCTATATTGTTAAATAAGATTATTTCCTAAGATTCAACCTTGTTTATATTGTGTTTAGTTGGGAAGCTTTTAAAAACTACTGAATTCTGGCCAGAAGATCAGTTAACTAAACAGTGGTGAGACCTAGATATTGTTAACTTAAAAAAGAAAAACACCATCACAATTAATTCTAATGTGTAAGCAGGGATGCAAACCAGTCTCCAAATGCTGATTTAATCCCCAGTATATTACATGGTGACTGCAATCTCTAGTACTCCACATACACAGTTCTAAGCAGTGGCCTTGGGTTCTTCCCCATTAAAAATGTCCTCTAATAACCCAAGGTAAGTCAGTTCACTTGCTTTCTTTACCCTCAAAGTACATTCAATAACATATCAAATATCTTTCCCATTACATATTATCTCTATTTGTGTGTGTGTGTGTGTGTGTGTGTGTGTGAGAGAGAGAGAGAGAGAGAGAGAGAGAATGAAAATGAGAATTAATGGGATCTTCTATCTGCTGGCTCATTCCACAAATAGCCACAATAGCAAGGTCGGGGCCAGCTCAAAGGCAGGAATCAGGAATTCCACCCTGCCTTGACGGTAGAGCTTAAGCTCTTTGGTCATGTCCCTTGCCCTCCTGGGCCATCAGCAGGGAACTGGATGGGAAGTAGAGCAGCCGGGATTTTCACCAGCACTTATATGGGGTGCCAGCTTGTGGGTAGTTACTTAACCTGCTGTGATGGCTGTCCAATGCCAGCTCCTCACTTGAGACCCTATCACAGGATAATTTATTGTTGCAGGCATTTGCAGATATAAAGCTTTCAGAGGAAAATAGCTGCTCCATTTAAGACATCTTGATTCATTGCCCTGGCAGTGTCAGATAGCCTTCTTAATCTGAGGAGGAGGAGTTATTAAAAGGTTAAGGAAACCTAATTAGTGAATTTTGACTATATAACCTAGTCTATTGTATATATTCTACCACAAATACACAAAGAACAAAACCATTGAGAGAGGGTAAATAAAATCAGTGTTTCTGGACTGTTTCTTGCATTCTCCAGAATTAACGTGTCTTTGGTTTACAAAGTATAAACTTCAGAATCTGATGTTTATGTATTCAAAACAGCAGTGACTCAAAACTGCTAGTTTTCACTTGACTGGATGCCCTGTAAGACAGCAAGATAGTTCACAACCAGAGAATTTAAGTCTGCTTCGCTGGTCGCTTTCCTTGGAAATGTATGAGATGGCATAACGCCTGTTCTAGCTTGAATTTTTAAATACCAGAGTGCCTCAATTACGCAAGTTCACAAGCGGCCAGAACTTAATCAGAAGTGTCTCTTGGTTGGATTGGCTGACTACAGCATAATTTGAATTTAACATTTGAGAGTATGGCATTAAGCAGATGCACTGTTACATTCTTTGGTGGTTATAACTGTGTGTGTTCCAATTAGGCGATTATCCATATGCCAATCAGGTGGAAACACTCAGACGGACAATATGCAGGTAAATAAATGCTGTACCTGACACATCTTGATATTTCCAGGCCACTGACTTAATAGGGTCATTCATAATGCACTTTGGGGATGTGGCCTTCGGTGTCTAATGGATCTAATGCAAACAGCATTACCAATATTATGTGGAGCCCCAGAATAAGTGAGGTCATACTTCCATTCGTGCAGATGGGAAATTCATAGACACACACAGGTTCAAGATGTGGGAGAGACCTGCCATTTGCACAGCTCAATTTTCCTACCTAAAAACTGTGCTTTCTACGGTGGCAGTCACATTACACTGTCAGTTTGACATGGAAATTGGGGCATGTCATGTCAAACTTAGCATCCTCCTGGCGAGGGCTTCTACCTTGGCATTTAACATTCCCACTTTGCAGAACACTGCTAGAGCCTGCTATTCTCTTTCTTCCTGGGGTCAGTGTGGTGCATTTCAGTTTCCTCCAAAAAAATATAACCCTTTGCTTATCTCCAAGCTCTCCACTCCTTCAATCTTATCTAATTCTGTAACCATGATGAAATTTCCATATGGGTAGTTATTATTTAGGTTTAGAGTCCATGACAGTCGCAGAAAACAGGACAGATGATTT